CGAGCCCCAGTGCCGGGCCCGGCCCCGCCTCTGACTGCCCCCCGCCCAGGCCTGCTCAGTGGCCCCCAAGGCCGCTGAGGTACCGTCCCACGGCCTGCTGGGAAGTTGGGCCCTCCTTGGGGCTCTTAGACGTAGCCCGTCAGGTTGTAGGCATTGAACTCACTCTTTGTTTTTTGCGTGTGGCTGATGGACGGCCGGGGGTTGGCCAGCAGCTTGGCCTGGTAGGCGCTGGGGTAGGCCGGCTCAGTCTCCCGTGGCGGGCAGGAGGGGCAGAGGGTGCAGCCGCCAACGGAGGGCCCATCTCGTACTTGGTGCTGTCCGGGAGCAGCGGGTTGTAGAAGTCCCGCAGCACCACGTGGGTGTTCCACACCAGGGGGATGAAGCACAGCACGCCCCCCAGGATGAAGATGGCCCCCCCGGCCACAGCAATCTTGTCCTTGGCAGGGGAGCCCTGGGCGAAGATAGTGCACCGCATCCCCATCACGGAGACGATGCAGGCCAGCGAGGAGACGGCGCAGGACGTCACCATCAGGGCCTGCGCCGCCTGGATGTCGGGGGGTAGGGACAGCAGGGAGTTGTAGATGTCGCACTGGGTGATGCCAGTGCTGAAGATGGCACACTCCATCCACAGGCCCCGGGTGAAGCCCACGGCGGTCACAATGCTGGCGCCGATGTAGGAGCTGTTCTTCCAGCTGGGCAGGAGTGTGGTGATCACGGTGCCCAGCAGCCCCAGCCCCGCCAGAATGTAGCCCACGAGCTGCAGCCCCACCGAGACCATCTTCAAGCACGTTCCTCACCTGACTGTGGCCGCCTGCTTCTCCTTTGCCTCGCCGGCTCCCCTCCGCTCCCCTCGGTCTGTTGTCCCAGCTCTTGGAGAGCAGCTGGCGGGTGTGGGCTCCTTGTAGGCTCGCGCCGTGGGGCTGTCCTTGTGGGGGCGGGAGTGAGGGGAGGAGAAACTCCCTGGAAGGAAAGAAATCTATAGCAGATTAAATATTGACCAGGGAGTCCTGGGAGATGCCAAGTACCCTTTCACCTCCCTGCCATCCCAAACATCCTGCAGTGCAAGAGCCCCTAGATCATAAACCCTGCCAAGGTTGTCACGCTGTGCCGGGGGCCTGGCGAAACCCAGCCTCCTGCCACGCTGAGCGCCACCCCCTCCTGCCACGCTGAGCGCCACCGCCCCTTTCCACCCAGCTGCTGGAGTCACCCTGAGCGCCATGTGCCTGAGCTGGGGCACCCTGTGGTAAGAGACGCTCGCCCGCAAGCTGACCAGGGAGTCGCTTTGGGCTGCTGGGGGTCCTGGCCCCCTGGGTCTGAGAACAGCCCCTGCCCCGGGTCGCCGCCTCCTCCAGCCACTGCTCCC